ATGATGGAGACGCATCTGAATGCCTAAAATTCAACAACGTGCAGCTGGTATCTGAAAATTACTATTAGAGGCTGTTCGACGTTGATCACCGGTCTCAAAGCAAACTTATAGATGGCGACATTTTAAGTGACATATTTGGCTATTGATACAACCCGCACACAGCACGTGTGAAAACGATAACATTTATCGAAATTAAAGGATTTCAGAGCCGAATACTGGCAAATTGAATAGAATAAAGCTAATCTACCTATTCCACAATAAACTTCAATGAAAATTTGGAAGACCAGTAGAGGAACAACCAACAAGTCTACTCAAAAAATTGAACCCTTAATCAAAGGCAATGAATCTGTTTTCGTGATAATTTAGTAGAAATTTCTAATGGGATTTTTGTTTCTTTTTGCAACATATATCCATAAACGTGGAGCCTTTTACAGAATAGACCAAGGCCATCCAGTGAAGAATCCAAGTTCGCAGTAAAGCTTAATTGGTCGCAACTTATTTCTAACGTTATTGAAACTTTTATATACGATTACCATACACTCAATCAAAAACCTCATTGATTCACTGTTTTCTCCCGACCTCCAGAAATCACGTCAGTCGTAATCAATTTAATAGCAACATAGCTGTTGTTCATCATCAGCCCATTGAAACATTTAGTATGCATAAAATGTTAACTGGAAAGAAGCAGAAGAAAAACCCCTTGATAATTAGTCATTGCCAGTTTTGTTAACGTGATAAAAATTGTTTCCAAATACGTTCAGAACTATTTTATACCCAGAATACAAAAGTTAATTTTACTCAATGGTTTAATTTTATTGAGTTTGTGCGAAGAAACTGTATCAAAAAACTGGTAAAATTAATCTATTCAGCGAATATCCCGTACGCTTTTTGGAATAAATTAACGGTGGAAAGAATGCTTTAATACAACTGTTAGATGCAGTCCAGAATTTGATCTCTACAAATAAGCTTCGCAAAGATCTAAATTTATCACCTAATGTCAAAAAACAGCAGCTAATTGATGACAAAAACAAAATTTGATGTATTCATTTGAACAGCTGCTATAGAATAAACTAAATTGAACCATCTGAACCTGATGTACGTTTCTTCAAATGCTAATATACAGTTGAAATTGGATAGGAAGATCGGAAATGGTATAAATAGAATATTTGCTCTATAAAGCTAATTTTATTTTTGAAAAAATGGTTGAGAATTTGGTCTACAAAGAACTATACAACTGTATTATACACAGTTATAAAGTGAACTCATTTTTAATTTTTTTTTTTTTGATATATCAAAAGTCATCCATTTATTAATAGAATCAAAATGAGGGTACTGTAAAAGCAAATATCAAGGTAAAGGTTGAAATAATACAAGGCATACAAAAAGACTGTAAGCAGATATTGGTGGTAAACAAATAAATTAGAACAAACAACCTTTTCAAAGGATGTCACAAAAATAACACTTAACTAAAAAGCAATAGTCAGGAAAAAAAAAATGCTGTTTTTAATGTTAATTCATTTTAGAGCTGTTACCACAAAAAAAAAAAAAAAAAAA